CCATTTTTGGTGTTCTGCAATTAAAACAACACCAAACAATAATTTCATCTCCAACAAAATCATATTTTTACTTAAGCCAACTTACTGGAAATATTAAAATTAACATGATTATTCCAACATACCTCAAACCTTCTTCTAGGATTTAGATTCGTCCATGAAGTCTGGCGTTTGATTTCCGACCCACACTTGCAGTTACGACAGTTGCGATTTGAATCTGTCGAGATCTCCAACATTTTACCTTAAGGTGCGAATTGGGGTATTGAGCTTGCTTAGGTTTCTTCATTTGGGGATTTCTAACAACTTATGGAGGGAAGTTGACTATGTCAGCTTAAAAGACTCTTGAACTAGAAAGTACGATTTTAGCCCTCATTTTGATGGACAAATTAACAGACTTGGACGATATGACCTAATTAAAATTACTTGTCAAGTTAATGGATGTAATTGTCTTAAAAAATAAAAAAAGTTGCGAGACCTAATTGAAACTCGAGGCAAAGTTAAAAACCATTTTGTATAATATGTTAGGTTAAAATGGGCTTATTTGTGAAAATGCCTAAAATAAAATGTCCTTCAAATAACAAACCAAACCCAAAACATAGAACAAGAGGCCCACAGAGAGAGTGGGAGAGCTCAAAGAGGGAAAGGAGCAACCGGAGCTTCGTGTCTTTTTCTTGCGATACCCGCAGTGGACCAGCACATCATGGACTTTGCCACCGGCGGTCCAGTTGCTGTTGCAAGTTTGCAAACGTGTCTTGGTTGATCGATACTTATGTTGTTGTTGTGCGAAAATTTTGTCTATGTTGAGAGGCAACGGGGACATTGGAAGAGGGTTGGTTTGTGGCGGTGGTGAGAGACTCAAAAACACTATTTTTATCATTTGGGTTCTCATAGAAAATTTCAATTCGGTGGGTATAAAAAAGGAAAAATTGGAAAGAATGAAGAAAGAAGATGCGTCCCAAAAAAGCCAAAGCAACATTGGTTTTTTTTCACAATATACCCATACCATAACCCAAAAAACTTGTAGATGCGTCCATGAACCAAACGTAAGTAACATTGATTTTTTTCATAATATAATCATACCATGGGGCCTTCTCCATTACGAAGTTCTAAGATGCGGAGCAGTTACGAACTTTTGTTTTTAACTGTTGGATGGCTTCTTTGGTTTAGATTTAAAACAAAGTTTAATAACTCATTTTTTCTCTCTTCCCTTTCCGTTTTCCTCTTTTTCTTCTTCCGCGAGTTCGCTCATCTCTCTCTCTTTTTTGTCTTCTTTTCCTTTGTCAGATATTTTCTTCCTTTTCCCTCCTAGTTCCTTTTTCTCTCTGTCTTATTTTCTTTCTTTTCGCTCTTCTTCCTTTTCTCTCTTGTGCCAGATGAACAAATTAGTCCACCCCGATTCCAAAAATTAGCCAAAATTCCCAACATGAGTAATTGCTAATTTCAATAAGAACACTCATGTAAAACAATCGATACAAGCAGAAACAAATAGCCAAAACCAAAAAGAAAAAGACTAATTCCTTAGCCAAAACCATAAATTAGTCTGACATCAAGACCCCGATTTGTGCGTAAAGATCCTCACCGCCCACGACAAACCACACACCTTTGCCGGAGAATCCCGCCTTCACCACCACCACCACGAACCACACAACTGGGCTGCACTTCGTTTCTCAATGCGGAGAACCGTCATCAAATGTCGTTGGTGGACCCAGGAAATTCTAGCAGTAAGAAGAAGAGAAAAGAAGAAAATAGAGAAAAGGAAGAAAATATTCGACAGAGGAAAAGAAGAAAATATCTGGAGAGGCAGTGAGAGTTTTGGCTAATTTTTGGAATCATGGTGGACTAATTTGTTCATCTGGTACAAGAGAGAAAAGGAAGAAGAGCGAAAAGAAAGAAAATAAGACAGAGAGAAAAAAGAACTAGGAGGGAAAATGAAGAAATTATCTGACAAAGGAAAAGAAGACAAAAAAGAGAGAGAGATGAGCGAACTCACAGAAGAAGAAAAAGAGGAAAAAGGAAAGGGAAGAGAGAGAAAAATGAGTTATTAAACTTTGTTTTAAATCTAACCCATAGAAGCCATCCAACGGTTAAAAACAAAAGTTCGTAACAGCTCCGCATCTTAGAACTTCATAATGGAGAAGGCCCCATCATACCATAACCCCAAAAAGATTATAACTTTTATTTACCTATGAAAAAAGAAATTCATGTTGTTAGTTGTGGCAAAAGCTCATAGTGCATCAACCAAGCTTCAAATTCACTGAGCCGTCCAACTATGCTAGGGGTGGAACCAAAGCATCCTGGCTGTCATCAGGAGCTAGAGCTAGAGGAAGCGCCACATGTGGATGAAGAGCAAAATGAAAATGAGGAAATTGCATGGCAAACAGAGGAAACTACCAAACACCATGAAGGTCCATCCATGGAGTTAGTGGAAGAGGAAAAACGGGAAGGGAGTGAATTGTATACTTTGATTGTTCGACTACAATGCCCCATGTATAAACCCTTCCCCATTTTATTGGAGTGAAAATTTTCTTTGAATCTTTTAATGTCAAAATTTTAGAACATAAGTTTTCTTTAATTTTGCTCGTCTATAAAATTCTTTATATATTTTCTGTTAGAGCTATATGTCTTAACCATGTTATTTTAACTGATTCAGCCTTCTCCATCAACCTTAGATGGGGTATTTCATTGCACGTTTGACTACATAAATAGACTCTTTGTAATGGTTCGACCTCGAAAGCTATTATACATGGCTATTGGTGGTGAGTGTTGGGAATGGGAACTGAAATTTCCTTTAGTACAAGCAAATGCTATATTGTATGCAATTTTTGTAATCATAATGCAAAAATGAATCAAAGCCCGGCCCAGTCCATGGCTATGGACTGGCCGGCCAACCTGTTTTTCTGATGGGTAGGGCCTAAGTTAAGGGTTTAAAATCCATGCCTAGCCCAAGATCTGCTCTATTTAGGCCCATTATGATCCAACCTAGCTCGCTAAGCCCACCCAAACCCGCAAATATTATAAATAAGATCTACAAACCTAGCTCGATCACCAGTGTAGAACAATTGGGGCAAATGGAAGAATCAAGTAAGAGAATCGCTTAACCAGATTCGGACACATAAAGTATCCCTCTTCTTCCAGTAGGAGCCAAACAAATAGGCCATTACGAAAACCTAGAAAGAAAAGAAAAAAAACAATGATGCAATCGGGTCGTTACGTTACCGAAAGCCCAATTTCTCTTTTTCCTTATTTTGCTCTCCCTTCCTTTCTTTGTTTCTGATCAATTCCTGCCCAGAACTTGAAGAATGGGAAAATGTCGACCTGCAATTATGGCCAAACCGTCTCGTGTTGTCGAATAGAGCGGTAGAAGGAAAAGGGTGTTTGGGACGAGGTCCCTCAGCTCTAGGGTTTGTGGCATGCGAGCCTCAGCTGGAAGCTCATCCAATTGCGTTAAAAGGCATGGAAAGCCTAAAGGTAATTTAATCTTAATTTTCCATCCTAGGGTTCAAAGTATGAACTTGTACTGTATTCCCACCTTGGATTCTAGCTCTTGTGAAAATGTAGCTTATAGAGGAATTGTGTTAGAATAAGGAGCTTTTTAGGGGGTGGCTGGATTTATTACTTTTGTAATAAGCATATCTTGAAAGTTGAAATGCAAATTGCTCGGTAGCTAGATAGATGGCTTCTTCATGCAACTGCTAATATTTACATTACTTAGTTGTTCCATACTCAATGTATACTTATTTTTCACACTCATGTATTCTTCTAAATTCTGTATTGTTATTGTTGCTAAGGACTAGAAAGCACAGGAGGTGTTTTTGGTCTTCTCTCAACATGAATTTTACAACATAAATAATCAACTGATTTAAGTTCCAGTGCGATTATTAAGGGTTTGTTTGGAATCTTACTTGGATTCAATTTTGTAAACTCAAAAATAAATTTTAAGTCCAAAGCCACAAAAATTTGTTTCGTAACTTGTGGTGCCTTGTATTACTAGTTACCTAGGTGGTGCTAGAGGCACCAACTTTGGGCACCACCTTGGGTACCAACTCTCTAATAGAGGTGGAGCCCGCCAATACAACGGGTCTCATGCTCTATTAGAGAGTTGGTGCCCAATGTGGTGCCCAAAGTTGGTGCATCTAGCATTTTCCTATTTGTATATGGTGATGAGCAAGACAACACCATGGTATTCGGAAAAAAAAGAAAAAAAAAATACAACTAAATTTGATCATGTCAACGCCCTCTATATGACTATTTTTTTAATTAAAAAAAAGTAGAAAAATAATGAAACCCCGTTGTGTTTTTTTTTAAAATAAATTTTTCTTTATGAATATGAGTATAACGAAAATTAAGGGTATATAAAGTTAAAAAAAAAGGAAGAAGAACAAGCAAAGTCTAAGAAGAGTAGAAAAGGATGACTTCATTTAGATTGAGATTCCAGAAGAGATCTGACTCCCAATTAATTAATAGATTCGAGATTCTTTAAAGGAAAAAGCTAAAATTTGTAACTCAAGGCAGCGTAATTTCCAAGAAATTATTAAACATATTGAAACTTGAAAATAGCGATTTAAATTGACAAAGATGAGTGCACCAACAAGATGAGAGAAAGTGGCAACAGTGCAAATTGAATCTTTACCATTTAGAATCTTACCATCAAGATGCGTACGTATCCTAACAGATTTTGTATTTTGTATTTTTCAAAGTTCAATCAAACTGTAGTTTCCAAAAAAGAAAGTGCAGAGAAACTTGTTTGAAACTTAGGTAAAAGAAGAAAAAAAACTTAGCTAAAAGAAAAAAGGGAAACAAAATCACAGCGGCACCAAATAGGGCAATGATTAAGGATTTGGGAAATCTAAATTCCAAAAGAACACGAAAATTCCATGTTTGGACTTCAAAAGAGCTCTATATAAGAGCAGCCAAAAAACTTATTTCATTACCAAAAAAAGAAAAAAAAAAAGAAATCAAGTTCTGAGATAATCGTGCCGTCAATATAGAGACTCTTCGTTTCCCCCCAAAGCTTTTTTTCCTCTCTCTCGAATTTTCGGCTATGGAGGCGTCACAGCCAGGAAGTCCAAGCGCAGCTCAATCGGCGGTGGAAGAGGAGTTGGTGAAGTGCTACTGCTGCGGGTTGACAGAGGAATGCACGTCAGAGTACATAGCTACAGTGAAGGAGCAGCATCAGGGCTGTTGGATTTGCGGACTTTGTGCGGAGGCGATCAAGGAAGAGAACTCGAGGTCGGAGAAGGCCCTCAGCGAGGGGGAGGCGATGAAACAACACGCCAGTTTCCGTGAGAAGTTTCGTTTGTCGAGCCCTCCGACGAAGTCTGCTGAGGAATTGATATCGGCGATGAAGCAGCTTTTGCGACGGACTTTGAACTCCCCGAAAAAAGAGGGGTTGGGTTGCCAACCCTCTCTTTCGAGGTCGAAGA